CCTTAAAGATAAGTGGTTTAGACAGGTATTCTCAAAACAATTATAATGCAAAAGCCTGAACTTCAGTTTCTCTATATTGACACGGTTACAGAAATATCTCAGGGAAGACAGAGCTACACAGCAATGGTAGTGCAAATCTGGAAGGACCTCCAGCAGCTTCAGTGAAGGTCCTCCTGATTTGCGTGAGACTTGCACCACAGTCTGTGATGTTTGTGTTCGGTGAATGGACACAAACAGGTGATGTTTTGCTTTTAATTAACCCACTCCCACCCCATGCAGTGTGTTGCTCTCAAGTAGTCCACCCCTGCAGCTTCCTGTTAATTCTTGTTTCTCTTTTGATGTCTAATGAATGAGCCTCACTCCTGTGAGTGTGGTGGTGGTTGGGCTTTGTGCTATTGAAGACTCAGGGAGCTGGGGAAGGAGTAAACTCTAGGAGTGATAAATTTGACAAACTGCTCCAGAAAATCACCTTTGTTTGGGATGATAATGATGAATTTTATGTTAGTGCCTGCTAACATGTGTTCCCTTAGTATTTTCATTGGCATGAAAGGCCCTGCATCAGTTCTGAACCAGATTCAGCAGGGTTTCTCGGAAGACACTACTGCTGTTTGCACTTCCAGCAAGTTTGTGATCCCTCCTCCCTGGTTAGAGTCACCAAAGACCTAAAGAACTTCCTGAAACCATTTTAGACACTTGCTATTATGAACTAACCGGACTTGATCATGGATACCGCCAATAAATTGATCACATTTTGTGTCAATGACTGCTCAACCTGTAAGTCACCTGGCCAGGGTTAAGTTCCCCTGAACCTGGTGTCTCCTCTGCTTGGCATCTTTTATTTACAGAGCAATGCTACCCCAGGAAGGCTCAGTGTACTCACCAAAACAAATAAAATACCTCCAACCTGTAGTTCTGGTTAGAGCCTTCAAGTGAGCAGTTTGCAGCTGTCCCACTGGGACACAAAAGGAAATGCTCAATTTTGAGCAAAAACGTGAGCTGAGACAGAATTATTTATTCATGTGTTGGAGCTAGAAATCTCAGTTTTTGCTTCCTCTCAAAGGGTTTTCTTCTCCACTAACATGTTTTCATGCGTGTCTAGGAAGCAGAAACTGAAGAGAAAACTTTTTCAAGAGGAACTAATCACCTGGAGCTTCTCCAGGCTTTAGGAGCTCCTTGCAAAGGACCAAAATAGAGTCTTGATTTTTCAGAAGGCAGGTGCCTGTTGCATTTTCCACTCAACCTCAGTACCCCCAGATTTATTCAGTCAGTCTTGAAAATCTCAGGTTGACCTTTTGCTAGGCACTAAAGGTCTGTTATCAGCCTTGTCTGGAGTACTTTTGAGTATAAGCTGAAGTTAAAGCAAGTATGAATTCAAGCCTGCCTTTGCTCAGAGCTGGCTAGTTACAAGGAAGGTCCACTTTGCATGCAATATCGCCGCCATAGCAGAGTGGTGTGCCTGAGCTAATATCCTTCTCTGCATGGCTTGGAGACAGCACCTGGTGACCCAGCATCTAACCAACCCAGGTGGCAAGCAGAGCAAATGCCCAGATCTGCCCAAGCAGTCACAGTTTCACCCCATGGATTTCCAATGAGATGTCAGCTCCCAGTTGCCAAAATTGCTACCAAAAATGGCTTGCAGGTTGCTAGACCACACAGAGGTATTATACGGTGTTTTGATCAGATTTGTTCTTGCTGGAGAGTTAGGGGTGGCCCTGAGATAAAAGCAAGCACTTCCCAAGACTCTGATTCCAAGTGACATTATTCGTTCAGGAAAGCCTTTCCTCTTTTTCTTCTTCTTTTTTTTTTTTTTTTTTTTAATTTTATTTCCAGCTTATGAAGAAGATAACAAAGGATGGTATGTCCCCGGAGCACACTCTGATGTGTCACTGTGGATGCCAATCCCCACAGACGCTCCCGATGTTATTAATTTTTAAAACAAACTTGCTGATTGAGGTTCTGACTGCCTTTAAATTGTCTCTACAAGGAGACTGTGTACTAATTAACCCACAGAAACAATCAATGATGTACCTTTTTCAAGTTTCAGGGTGATTAGAATATGAAAATGAAGAGCACAATGGTGCAGATGTTTTAAAATCACAGCAGACAGCAATTAGTGACATGGGAACCAGCTGCTTATCTCTCCAGATAAAGCCTCTTAATAGGGAATTACACTTGAGGAGCCATTACACAGATGGATCTGCGAATGATTTAAAGAGGGGGCGTTGTAGTATTAACTTTGATTTGCAAGCCAGATTCTTGACAAGCTGTTTGTGTGTTACCTCCTCAAAAGGTGCGTTTGGAGCAGGGGGGTACCGTCCCCTGTAAGCAACAAGATTTTTTTCAGGTGATGAGTTTCTCTGATTGCATATTTTATCATTATTATTATTTTTAGTTATATTCAATTTTTTTAGATTTTTTTTCTTATTATTATTGTTTTACTAAGCTTTTGATTCGATTGCTGGCATCTCCTCCCACTTTTTGCTTTGGGACTGGAAGAAGCGTGTGGATTTAGAGAGAAGCTCAGTCGAGGGAACAGGGAGGCAGAGTGAGACATCCAGTAGTTCAACGTAGAGTCCCTGAGGGATGAATTCTGCTGCTGGGTACTGCTTGCAGTGTAGGGTGCTGCTCATCATGGAACTGATGCAATCTCATCTGCTCAGTTGCAAGGGCTTCATGCCAGAATAAAACTGTTAAAAGGAGTAATCACCTCTGCAGGTGCAGGGTTGCACAGGTCTGGAACGGCAGGTGTAAACACACAGTCCCATCTCCTCTGTTCACTGGCCAGTCCTTTTCAGTTGCCAGTATATGGGATGTATCCTGCTCATAGGTCTACCCAACACTGCCAAAGCTGAGCACTGAAACTCATGAGTTTGGCATCAAAATTGTGTACTACTAATAAGAAGATTCAAACTTTATTTTTTCAGTCTAAGGTTTAGCATGTGCTGGATCACGTTGCTCAAACTTCTTTACAGTTATGAAAACTATTAGCTTCTTCATGTGTATTTTGTTTTCCTTGAAGGAAAGATGGGATTATTACCCACTAAGCACATCCAGTAAGCTGAATATCAAGAAAAATATTGACCAAGTCTGGTGAGATGTGGTAAAATTGCGTGGGTTAAGTTGTGCTTTTACTTTCACAAAAGAAGGAGCAGACTACCGGTGCAGAATAGATAGCTGCTGAAGAAAACCCATTTAATGAAAGGGTAAACTACAAACAGAGGCAGGTGCTGAAGTTTGAAGTATTTTTAGGGTCTCATAAACCAAAAAGCAAATAAAGGTAAATCTTTCCGTTTTCATGAAAAAGTCCACTATTCTTGGTGCCGATCTTGGCCATACTGCCATAGGAACTCTATTCAAGTCAACAGCCCCTTGCCAAGACCTATGGAGCTGCAATATATTACAGGTTTACTGACAAATAAAGCAATGAATTTGTGTGAAAGGCATCAAGATAGAGGTTTCTGAAGAGTCCTGTTTGCCCTAACCCTATTGACAGCTCTGGCATCCTCCGCTAGCTCAGCAGAGGCTTAAGTTAGCTGAGCTGGGGCTTGTTGGCTTCTTAGGGTGGTGCTTACCCAGCAGGGAAAATTGAAACCTAAACATTAGGAGCAATGGGATCAGACAGCAACCCAGATGGATACACGGGCAATAAAATACACTTGGCTGCATTACTTTCAACTGATTTAGTAGTGCTTTTAGGTAAACAGTCCCCACATATCCATTGCAGACGGTGAAACCCAACCTACTGCAGCCAAGTGATCTCTGGTTGCTGTGCTGCAGAAGAATTATTTTGGGGTGATATGGATGTGTCTGGTAAGGGAGAGCGAAAAGTAAATGTTATACTGGAAGAAGTTGCATGAGGAAACCCAGTGGACTGTTACGTGCTTGGGCAGATACATAGTTTTGACATCCTGCTTAGGAAATGGAGTCCCCTGATCCTGCAGACTGGTCATTTTTTGAAGGCCTGTTGAAATCAGAGTGCTTATCTGTGCGATTAAATGCCTCCAGAGTTGGCACCTTTGATGACATAGGCATACCTTTCTCATGAACTGTAAGATAGATGTTGTGGTGGCCTGCGGTGCTGGAGTAATGACAAGGCTATCATTAGGGATATGTTGGAAGTTGCATCATCATTTTATAATGTGCAGGCTGAGGAAATGAGGCTGGAGGAGCCAAGTGATATATCAGCATTCATCGTTGATATATAGCTGGCCTCTCAATTCTGAGCTCTTATTAACTGCATTAAAATATAGATCAGAGATTATTGCTCCTTTTAAACTGGAGATCTCTATGTGTGTTATGCACTTGGAGGGACCAGGGTGTTGCCAGCGTGTGATGTTTTCACTCACTGCTGTAACCCTCTTTTTGTTGTTGTTGTTGTTGTTGTTGTTTTGGTTTGTTTATGAAAATTGCAAATGAAATTTTTCAGGTCATTTAGTTTCACAGCTCAGCATTTTGGAAATATCATGGGTGTAAGGAGTTGCTTTGATTGCAGACATAAGGCAAGGATCTGTGCAGAAACAGCCTGGCCCTGCCTCAGTGCGGGTCCTAGGGGCCAAGAGAGGCCTCAGCCCATCATTTCCAGGGTTTTTCCAAGTCTTAAAATCACGGTACCTCGGGAAAGATTATGTTTCTTGTGAGGTTTGGGCGGAGGGCACGCACCTCCAGCCCACTGGGACCTCCCCAGGCAACGGCCACCTCCCGCACACCTCCTGGTTGCCAGCTGACAGCACACCCAGCCTCGGTGGCCTGGAGGTAGGAAAAGCCCCAAACAACTGAGGTAAAAATGAAGCTCAGGAGCTTTGTAATCAGTTTTAAAAAAAAAAAAAAAAAAAATTAAAATGAAAACAAACTATGAAACTTCAGTGTCAGTGCTACTGATTTCCTTTCGGCCCCTCCCTGGCATCATCCCAAGGACGTGGACGTGGGTAGGCTCCATTTTCTGAAGGAGGGCATCAGCAGTGTGGGTTGTGGCCACTATGTGCTGTGTGGCTTGTGCACAGGAGGCCACTGCGAGGAGGAGGAGGAGGAGGAGGGGGAGGGGGCGGAGGAGGTACTGATTCATTCCCCAAGGGCTGTTTATGCTTTCGGCTCCTTTCTCAGGCTGAAGAAACCGGGTGTCGCTCGCCCGCGACATCTGCAGCTCCACCGCAGCTGCCTGCTTTCATTTTCTCACTCCACAATTCCTGGAAATCTCTGCTTTCCCTGAGCATGTCTGATCCATGTGCACAACAGCTGAACTATCCACAGGATTTAAGAGCCCCTGATTACTCCTCAGACGATGGACCAGAACAGCTTCATCGTTATTGCCTATTCTAGAAGAGCCACATGCCCATTTTTATAGGCACACGAAGGATATCTCAACATCAATTTGCCATTAACATGTATGTTTACTTGACACTAAATAATGCATCATGGGCTTGGGGGTATTTAGCACTTTTCATATCCCTCAGAAGTTACTCAGAACTGGGGACATTTAATTTCCCAGCTCAAAACCCTCTTATGCTGACAGCCTCCTTGCCCCAAAACTTCTGTTGCAAACACCCTGAACAGGGGTCTAACGTAAAGCTACTGAGAGAAACTTAATTTGCAGAAACACAAGACACTTAGCAGTTGTTTTCTATTGTTCTTTCCTTGGTTACACTTTTATTTTAAGTCTCTCATCGTTTATTTGGCATTCGGAACAGTGTCATTACAGTTTGTTAAGAACAGTTTTTTGCAGTACTAGGTGTACAAAGTCAGTTGCACAGTTTGATCCAGAGCTTTACCAAAAAAGCCCCTAAATGTAACAGGAGAAAATAAACAGCTAGAAGAGGTCAGTTAATGAAAGTAAAAAAAAAATAATTCTTTTTTTTTCCTTTAAAAGGCTTTTCAAAAGGTTACAGCCGTAGCAAACATAAGTTCTTTAGCTGAAAGAGGCCCACCAAGAAAAAATACTTTCTTTTGCTCTGTTGCAGTCTTCAGCATAATTCTGCCCTTACTGTAACCTCTGCAGCTTGAAGAGCTGCTGTCAGATTAGAAATCATATTGAAAACATCTCTTACTAACATTGCAAATAGCAGATTATTAAAATGGAAAGGGAGTAATGCAAATCTTGAACCTGCCAAGTGTGCCTGACACACTTGATGCCGTGCATATGATTTTAAGCACTAAGTTTGTGGGGGTGATTTCGGTGTGGAAATTTAAGCAAGTAAATCTGTGCAGAGTCTGGCTTCTTAGGGAAGTGGACGCATGGGTTTTCCTCTTGTTTGTTACAACTTCCGAGATAATTTTGCATTTTTCTTGTTTACAACAATGAGCTTAGTTTGCTGTTCTTGAGCACCAAGTTCTGTAAGGGATTATTTTTTAGGGAAAAGGGATTCTCACCAGGAGGCTGAGTTGCACCATTCATCCATTGAAAGGGAATATTTTACTTGTGTTTTAAATTAAAAATCAATAGAATATGTTTCCTTAGCAATTTAGCATTTACAGAAATATTTCCATTGTTTTTAGAGTGGGAAAACAAAACAAAACTTGTTTGCAGTGCATGAATCTAAATGTAAATTTGGTTCAAGTATAAGACGACTTTATAAAGGCTCCTAACCCTTACAAGAACATTGATTAGGAAGAGTTGTCACTCACTGTACAAATAAAGAGGTGCAACCAGGGGTTACAAATGAACTGATAAACTAATTATTTTTTTGCTATTTGTTTCCTACTACCTTCCAGGTTTATGACAGGCCACAAAAACATTCTGCTCTGCACTATGATCCGGGCCTCCAACAAGACTTCACCGGTGACACCTTAAAATCAAAGCACCAGCAGAAAAGTAGCAACCAGCACCATCTTGACTGGTCAGCGAGCTCCGATACTGGTTCCACTTCTCAAAGTTGCTTCATCAACACAGAACCCAGTCGAGAAGCAGTTAGTGCCACCAAGGTCTCTGTTCCAGAGCCAGGAATTTCCTTCAGCAAATCCCAAGCAAAGAAGTCCTGCACCAGCAGCACGTGGGGCCAATTGTCAGCCAGTAGTAAAGAGCTTGCCATTTGCAGTGCAGTCCCATCACCCAACAACATCAACGCGGCCGCCCAGCCGAGCGGTGCTTCCGAGTGCAATGGGCTTTTGCCTCTTGGTGATCAAGAAGGAGGTGTGCAACTGGAGGCCCCCGATCAGCCCTCCGGGAGTACAAAGAAGAAGTTCAGCAAGAAGGACTTGATAAATCAAACCATCCAAACCACAGACATCGAATGGGTGAAGAGTGCTCAGAAAGCATTTGACAGCAAATCCTATGACAGTATGGAAGGGAAAAAGGAGTCTTACTCGATGGACAATATGTTGGATACATCACCCTCAAAGCAGAATCCCACTTCCGCTAGCACTTGTGAAAGTGACACCAGTCATGTACGAATTACTATACCAATAAAGTCTCCGACGACAGATACATCTGGCCACAAAAGGAAAAAAAGGCAATCCACAAAATCTTCTGTAGAGAAAACTATCCAGGAGAAAAGCCTGCCTTCTGGACTTCTTGTGAGCAGTGAAGTAGCAAACAGGACTAGTTGTCAACCAGAGGGGAGTAAAAAAGATCTTCGAGCCACAAAGCCAGGGAAAATCATTGAAAACGAGTCCCCCTTAGTAGCTATTGACAGCAGTGTGCTCACTGACAAAACTTCCCCCAACAGTGCCACCAGACTCAGAAAATCTGTAGCTGTGACACCCACTCTCCTACCCACTGATCTTCCCACAGCTAGCAAATTGTCTGAGGTCCAGCACCCCAAACATGCAGCTAAGCGGCGATGGACCTGCAGCAAACCTAAATCTATCCTACGGGAGACCTCCATGACAACATCTGAGAAGCTGATGGTGGAACCTCCTTCAGCCTATCCCATCACACCATCCAGCCCTCTGTATACCAATACAGACAGTCTTACTGTGATCACACCTGTCAAGAAAAAAAGAGGACGACCAAAGAAACAGCCTTTGCTCACTGTTGAAACCATTCATGAGGGAACCTCCACCAGCCCAGTGAGTCCAATCAATCGCGAATTTCCAGGAACAAAGAAAAGGAAGAGGAGACGGAATCTGGCCAAGTTGGCCCAGATGGTCCCGGGAGAGGACAAGTCCATCAGTGAACTCAAGTTTCACAAAAAGGTCGGGAAGCTTGGGGTCTTGGATAAGAAGACCATCAAGACCATTAATAAAATGAAGACCCTCAAGAGGAAGAATATTCTCAATCAGATCTTGTCCTCCTGCTCCAGCAGCATAGCTCTGAAAGCAAAAGTCCAGCCACCGTCTAGTGCTGGGCCTACCACCATCGACGCCAGACTAGGGAAGCAGATCAACGTCAGCAAGAGGGGGACTATCTACATTGGGAAAAAAAGAGGCAGAAAGCCAAGAGCAGAGCTGCAGCCTCAGCCAGAAGAACCTAAGACAGCCATCAAGCACTCAAGGCCTGTTTCCAGCCAGCCAGAAAACCCAGCAGTGCCTTCCAACCTGCAGTCACTTGTGGCATCGTCACCAGCAGCTATTCATTCGCTTTCAACACAGTTAGTGGGGACTAATGGCAACCTTAGCCCTGCAAGCACTGAAACAAATTTTTCAGAGTTAAAAACTATGCCAAATCTTCAACCTATCAGTGCTCTTCCTACAAAAACCCAGAAAGGAATGCACAGTGGAACTTGGAAGCTGTCTCCACCCAGGTTAATGGCTAATTCACCTTCCCACCTCTGTGAAATAGGTTCTCTGAAAGAAGTCACGCTGTCGCCAGTGAGCGAGTCTCACAGCGAGGAAACCATACCGAGCGACAGTGGGATAGGTACAGACAACAACAGCACTTCTGACCAAGCCGAGAAAAGCTCAGAATCCCGCCGGAGATACTCCTTTGATTTCTGCACCCTGGACAATCCAGAGGCTATCCCATCTGACACCAGCACAAAGAACAGGCATGGTCACCGGCAGAAACATCTCATTGTGGATAACTTTCTCTCTCATGAGAGTATTAAAAAGCCAAAGCACAAGAGGAAAAGGAAAAGCCTGCAGAACAGAGATGACCTCCAGTTTCTGGCAGACCTTGAGGAACTTATCAATAAGTTTCAAGTGTTCAGAATTTCCCATAGAAGTTACACATTTTATCATGAAAATCCATATCCCAGCATTTTCAGGATTAATTTTGATCACTACTACCCTGTGCCATATATCCAGTATGACCCATTGCTCTATCTTCGCAGGACCTCTGACATGAAGTCTAAGAAGAAGCGTGGTAGACCTGCCAAAACCAATGACACCATGACAAAGGTGCCTTTTTTACAAGGGTTCGGTTACCCTATTCCCAGTGGGAGTTACTATGCACCCTATGGAATGCCTTACACATCAATGCCTATGATGAATCTTGGTTACTATGGTCAGTATCCAGCTCCTTTGTATCTGTCTCACACGCTCGGAGCGGCTTCCCCATTTATGAGACCTACCGTGCCCCCACCCCAATTCCATGCAAGCTCTCATATGAAGATGTCCACCACTGCCAAGCATAAAGCGAAACACGGAGTGCACCTACAAACACCTGTGGGAATGGGCCTTGGAGACATGCCGTCCTCTTTGGCTTCTCCAAAGGTTGGAGGAACAAGCCTTTCAAGTGGCCGACTTCACAAAAGGAAACACAAACATAAGCACAAGCATAAGGATGAGCGGATATTGGGGACACATGAAGATCTGAGTGGTCTTTTTGCTAGCAAGTCCACTGGCTTCTCCAGCCATGCGATCAATGAAAGGCTAAGCGGCTCAGATAAAGACCTCTCCTTGCTCAACGAGAAAAACAAGCATAAGGAGAAGCAGAAGCACCAGCATTGTGAAACCGGACACAAAGGCTCAAAGAGTAACTTTGAAGTAGATACGCTGTCTACGTTATCCCTTTCTGATGCCCAGCAGTGGACACAGAGTAAAGATAAAAGTGACTCAAGCAATGATCCCATTGACTCTTGCACAAAGAGATACTCTGGTAATACTGAGAGTAATGGAAGGTCAGAGTCCTTGGACGTGTTTGGTGAAATAAATTCCTCAAGTGAGAAGCGGGACAATGATGCAAGTGGGAATAAAAGAAGAAGCTTTGAAGGGTTTGGAACTTACAGGGAAAAGGACATTCAGCCCTTCAGGACAAATAGGAAAGAAAGAAGTACTTACGATTCTTCAGCCTCTTCAGGTAAGCTCTGGTTGGTTCTGTTTTACCTTACTGCATTTAAATTTTAATGCTGAACAAAGAGGGACTTGTCATTTACAGCAAGTATGTTTATGAGTCAATAAATTCACTGTCTTTTTGTAATTGACTCCTATTCTGCATCCAAACTTTGGGGAGATCGACAAGAAAGTTGACCATGCATTAAGCCAAAACCTTTAAAACTCTTTGAGTTGTTACATAGCATTTTTATTTGTCCTGCCTTTGCCTATCTGTCATAGCTCATTTCATCTCCTCCAAAAACCTCACCATTGCATTCTGCAACAGCAGCGATTATGATATCTGTTGGCAAGGTAGGCATCCCTCTTACTGGTGTCTAATATTGCAGGGTGGCAGTCATTGCCCAGCTTTTGGCAGAACAGCCATGGTACTGAGCAGAGAGTCTTTGCTCTGGCCCAAAAAAGATACAAAAACCATTTGTTGATGGGATGGACCAGACACATGGGAAGTTGTGGAGCTGGGTCAGCGTCCCATGACTGATGTGGTGTACTGCTGATCCAGAGGGACCTATCACAGTGATAGCTGGGCTGAATATATGGAGACCCTGGGTACAATCCTAGTGTAAATCTGTCACTTCCAGTTGACAGGTGTCGTGTAAAGTAATTATCCAGAGCATTGAGTGGCTGTGGGAAGGTGTCATGGAAACAATAAACCCTAGCCAATTGACTCTGAAGAGTTTTAGGGCTCTTGACTTGGAAATATAAGCTGGGTAGATGAGGAGGGAGGAAGCTCCTTTCGGCTGCTAAGGACATCTGTTCCTCTTCTGCAGAGGGGGAAAACCAAAAGGAATCTGAATCTTGTCAGAGAGACTGAATTGTATTTTACAATAGGAAGCTGGTTTTGTGATGACACAGAGGCAGGTGTTTTGCTGCAATATAAATAAATTTAGCTTGGGAGCAAGCCCAGAGCTCCTGTACCATCAGATATTTATCACAAAGCAGATTTCACACTTGGTTCTGGATAAGGGTGAGATTTACTGAACCAACCAGCGGTGGATGAGATTCTGTTGCGCTAAAAAAGAGCTTCAAAGAAAAATAATTCATAGCCTCAAAAATAAAAAAGAATCATCTGAGAACACAGAGGGAGCAGAGAATTTGTATAACCTGCCAATGTAAGGCTCTTGAGTTTTTTATTGACTTGTAACTGATTGAGATCCAAAGACTGCTCATGCTTAAGCCACCTAGACATTTCCATTTCCTTCACTGAGGCCAGGATCTAAACTATAGCAATGAAAGGCAGCCTAAAATGAGAGCTTATGTCATGAAACCATTCCCATTCATGCTATCATATTATATCAGACCAATTGTGACACCCAGAAATAAGACACCTAGAAATATTGGAAAAGAGACTGGATTCGATCACTGGTTGTATCAAGGTTGCTGAAGAGCAAAATTATTCTCCAAGTGCTGCGGTGGCTATTGCATTAAGGAAGTTGTGTCCTAGCAGACAAGGATTAAAAATCTTCAAAATTTTTAACAAGGCTTTTTCTCAGTTTTTTACTGGAAGTTACTGATTTCACAGTTTGACGACAGTTGGATTTGTAGCCTTTTTGCTTTCTGAACAGAAGATGTTTTTTAAACCTGTACTTTCCAATTTAATATGTTTCACTTAGGTGTAGCAAATTGTCAAGAGAAAATTCTCACTACTGAAATCAAATGAGTTTCCGAAGTAGGGGCATGGTCCCCACCAGGCTGATTCAGAAATAGAATTGGTAAAGAAAAAGTCCATTTCGTGTTATTTCATTCAGTTTATTGTCTATGGCGATGAAAATGTAAGATGGAATAGTAGAACTTGCAGTAGGAGCTCTGTCAGATTTGCTGTTTAAACTTTTAAAAGTGATTCTCATTTGAACTAAAACTATTATTTTTATTTATTTTTACATTTCTTGATTACAACTGCACATCGTTCCCCATGACCTAATCCATCAAGTCACAGATTATGAACTGGTTTCTTCATTGTCAAGCTATTACTTAGATGGAAAAATTACCAGCAGTTAGCTAAGCAGAGCCAGCTAACCAGAGCCATACCTTGCACTACAGGAAAAATACTAAAACTAAGCAGTTCTGCCAAGAAAGGCCTGGAGCCAAGACTGCTCATTAAAGCCTAGGAACATCTGTCTGCTTATGACTGTCTAAGATCTCCGTGCAGCTTTTTTTCCTTTCTGCCTTTGACCTTCACTGGGATTCCCAACAGAGGTCCACACTTGAGCCGAACCATAACTATTAACCCGTTCCCACTGAGGAGGGATTAAACTTTTCCATGATAACCTTGACCTTCTTTCTCCTAATTCACCTTGCATTTCCCTGAGGTGGCTAGACAGTCATTGACTAATCATAAAAACAAAAGGTAAAAGAAAAAAAAGCCCTGTGAAAAAATACAGCTCTGTCCCAGGAGGCGATTTCCATAGCCTGATTGCTCTTACCATTTGGTATTTGTCATCTTTCACAATAAAAGAATGATATCTAACAGAGATAAGAGGAGACATCCTGAATATTTAGATGAAAGCTGAAAATAGATTTGTATCACAGTTTCAGTGTTATCTTTGCTGCATGGGCATTTTGGCCTGCTCAGTAATGCCATTTGCAACTTCATTGTATGTTGCTGGAGATGAAATACGGAGCAAAAATCACCCACACTTGGTAGATATATCTGTGAGAGGAGTGATGAGAGAACCATTTAGTGCTCTTTGGCATTCAGGCATTGCAATTTGTTTCAGTGTAGCGTGCTGGTGCAGGTGCCATTGTATTGTTGTTATTTTTATTATTATCATCTGTGTTGTAACAGCACTTAGCCATTTCTGGAAAGTTCAGTGTTCCTTGGTGCTATCTAACTGTCACGCATATGGTAGAAACCAGTCCTGCCATATAACCTTAAAGCCTATTGAAGAGTCTTGAGGGTAAGTCTTATGAGGAGCAGCTGAGGGAGCTGGGGTTGTTTAGCCTGAAGAAGAGGAGGCTGAGAGGAGACCTGATCGCTCTCTACAATGACCTGAAAGGAGGTTGTAGCCAGGTGGGACTCGGTCTTTTCTCCCAGGCAACCAGTGACACGACAAGAGGACATAGTCTGAAACTGCATCAGGGAAGGTTCAGGCTAGAAATGAGGAGGCATTTCTTCACAGAAAGGGTCATTTGTTAGGCATTGGGATGGACTGCCCAGGGAGATGGTGGAGTCACCATCCCTGGAGGTGTTTAAGAAAAGACTGGAAGTGGCACTTAGTGCCGTGGTCTAGTTGACATGGTGGTGTTAGGGCAAAGGTTGGACTTGATGATCCCAGGGGTCTCTTCCAATCAAATCGATTCTGTGATTCTGTGAGTCTGTGATTATACAATCTAGAAAGATTAGGATGTTAAGGGAAGGGTTGTCCCTCTCGCTGTCTGGATGAGCTGGTTGCTGGCACAGGAAATCTGTGCCAAGAGTGAAGGGTCCTGTTGTGGGATTGCCACCAGCCACCTTGGTTGGCCACAGCAAATGTCCATTCCGTGTACTGCACCAGCTTGGACTATCACTGGCCATTCATTAGTGGGGATTTTGTGAGATTTGGCTCATTTTGAATCTCTTGGGACCTCTTGGGACTAAACATGCAGTGTTAATGCATATGGCTATTCTCCCAGTGCACTGCCTGTTTCTCCACCATTGTTCTGGAGAAACTGGAGACCTTTCCATAAACATTAACTAGTAACTCTTCCCATCTTCCTTCCCATCCATTCCCCATGACCTGTTGCTTCCTGCTGCATTTTTCTGAAATTGCTGTTTTTGTAAAATTCCTTGTGCTTAGCTAGCCCTTCTGCATTTAGAAGGACTAATTAATCAAAATTAATTAAGCCTTCCTTTCCTGTTCAGCTGATGCAGAGGACTAGTCCAGTGGCATTAGTCTGGCCTATAGGCAGGGGTACAGCAGAAGGTGTTTCAGATCCTGCGTTGTCACAGTCATACTGTCACTTGGGCACACCCTAGACTGAACTTTCAAGGTGTGTGCACCAAGCATTGACTCAGTTGACTCCCTTCTTCCACTTGCCTCAGCCAGAGGTACACCTCACACATTTGCAAAATGTTGTTGGGGCCCCTCTGACCTGAGGCACTGTGTACATCTGGATGGCTGATCCTTTTATCTGCTCTCCAGTAGATGCTAAAGCCCCTGATGAGGGCCCCAGGGAGAGGCCACAGATTGATACCACAGCTGGGCTGGGGAGACTGAGAGCAGAGCTAGATTTTAAAGAGGTCTTCACAGCAAACTCCACATCTCCTTGTCGTGTGTCTGCCTGCTTCACTTTCATACATGATGCTGAAGAAGAGACTTGCTTCGCTGCTGAGCAGTCTCAATGCCATAGCTTGTGCCTTGGCAAAAAGCAGGAACACGTTGCCTCTTCCTTATTTCCTTAGACAGGCAAATGAGGAAAAACACATTTAACATTTTCAGGTGCATAGATAAGATGACAATTTGTGTGTATGACCTGTCTGATTATGTCCTAGTTACAATCAGGCCAGGATGTAGCTTGGGGGTGAATCAGGCATCAAAAGTTACTATATGCAGGAGTGCGTTTCTGCTTTTCTTTGTAGTGAGACTAATCAAGGTCTATGCTACTTTACGCTCACAGTATTTCTGCCTCTTTTTTTAAAAAATTATAATTATACAAACAGAGATTGCCTTGCTTGCATATTGGACATCATGGTTCAAAGATCAGGTAATAAGTACACGGGTTTCATCAGATATAGCCCAGACACCATGCACAGTAAATTTACAGGAATATAAAATTAATCATATGCAGCTATTAGGAAAGTAGTAATCATCAGTCTCTGAATGCTGGATAGTTAACATGGCAAACATGCTTTACAAATTAATGCTTAACTTACCTGCAAGCCCCCATATGCCTTCCCCCCTCAACGTCCAGCAGCCTACATGCTGAATTTCTTCTGATTTGACCTTTCCTCCTCAGCTAGTCTGTCTGGTGCTGGTTTAACTCTGAAGG